CCTCCAGCGGCCACCACGACACTTTACCCCAAAGTAAATCGGAGAGAGCCAACAGAAGACCGTTTCTTTGCTGTTGTCCCTAAGGCGCTAGTCCTCCGCACCTCAGTTGCAACCAACCCAACCGACAAACAGCGGCGAGCCGCAGGAATTCGAGCTGGATCCCTCCATCCAGGGCTGGCTTGAAACGAGGGGGGAAAGCGAGCGGCTGGGAGAGGCGAAAGGGACGGCTTCCCATCTCCGCCCTCCCCGCGAGAACCGGATCGGCCGGAGATTCACGGAAGCAAAACGAGCCCGTTTCCATCTAGGATGCTCGGCGAATAAGGGGGCTGGCCGCTGATTTTCCGCAAGAGCGCAAGTTGGCTCGCGCTCCATTGGGGCGAAGACAGGAGCGCGGCGCAGAGCAAGCGATCCTAAAAGGGGCTTGAGGGATCGAGAGGGAGGGAAGGAGCCGATCCACCCGGTTTCGGAGCGGCCTTGCTCCCGAAAAAGTTTAAGAAAAGCGGCGGTAGCCCAGTTTTTCTGAGCTCGCCTTTTCTACCGGCCCGGATTCCCTTGCCACGTGCTCACTTGGGCGGGGGCGGGGGACGCAAAGCGGATTGAAATGCAGGAGGCTCATTTCCAAAAAATCATCTGGCTGGGGAGATACCGGTTGAGAACTACTGTCCATGGTCTATCTGGATTCCCGAGCCAAAATGGATGGCGATCCACAGGCGAATTAAGGCAGGCTTCACTCCCTCCGGGACAGTGGCCTGGATCACCCCTTCGCTTTTCCGTTTGTAGCGAGAAGAAATGTTTAAAAATCGGCTATCTAGGCTAAAAGTGTTTTCGTCTATTTTTAGGGGGTATCTAGATGCTCCCCCAGTTCCGGGTAACGATTCCAACTCTTCTTTCAGCCTTCGCCGATCGGGTTGGGGGAGATGGGGCTTGTAGTCCTACCAGTCCCGAGGGTGCCAGAATGGGGAGAAGTCCTAATTATGGGGGGGGGTCCCTCTGAAAATGAGGGGGCTTCAAGCGACAGGAAAGTCCAGTTACTCGGAAGTAAGGCCCTGCGAGCTGAATGCAAGGCTGGTCAGGTTCCTTAAAAGCAATCGGTTTCCAGCGAGATTTCTCGCTCACACGCCAACAGCCCCGGGTTCAAGGAAACAGCGGCAAGTCTCAAGTCAGGCACCATTCATGCGACTGGTCTGGGCTCTTCGGTCGCGCCATAAAATGTGTTTGGCCACCCTCTTGCAACCGATGCGATTTTCAGAAGGATCAAGAGCCCCCCGCGCCCCCGTTCTGCGCCCTCAAATGTAATAATTACTTTTATTTATATATACAGCATTTACACCGCCCCATTTTTTAGAGACTCCGTTCTTAATTCACCCTGTCAGCCCCTTTCTTGGGGGCGGGGGAGGGGAAGTACGGCAGGAGTTCAGATTGCTAATTCACTTAAACCGAGTTCATGGCGGATTTAAATCTACTGGAAGCCTCGCATTTTAAACGATATGTTTTTTGGGGGGGGTTGTGTTTTTTGGTGACAAACCAAATATCTTTAAAGAGGCCAGTTTGGCGGAAGTTCCCCGGAACGAAGCTCCGAGAAGCTCATCGTGAACCCGATGAGGCTTTCTCTCAAATCGGTTTAGAAAGAATTCCTGCGCTGATCCATCGGCCTTTGTACCAATGGGATGGGCATGGCTGATAATTCGGATTAAGGCGGAGTGGAATCAATCCTACACGAGAGGAGCTGAGGCGGTGAACGGCTTGCGCCTAACTTATTGTTCCACGCAGTTGAGCTGGAAATCTAAGGTCCCTTCTTGAGAGATTTTATTTGTTTTATTTGCTCGATTTATATAGTCGCCCATCGCACATAGGTGACCCTAGGCAATCGCCGGTTTTGTGGCTGTATTCACCACGTGTTTAGCAGCTACTGTTTATTCGAGCAGCCCATTATTCTGATTTCACACAGCACGACGACCCATTAACCAGCCGCGCTACACGCTAGGTTAAAATATGCCGAAGGGGGACTGGAGCTCAGGGTACCGCGGGAATAAAGCTCGTGGGTTACAGAAGGAAGATGTTTAGGCTGGCTCACAGCTCCCGCTTGTACCGTAGAACTTGCTCGCCACGCAGGTAGAAAGATTTGGAGGGGGCCTATCTGACCCCAAAGTTCTAAGTCGGGGTGCTTAGAAGGAAGCGGGCCTCGCCTCCAGAAAGACCGGTTCGCACGCCAGTTAAACCGAGACAATCGGGACTTAAGCCTAGCTCAAGCCATGGTCCTGAGTCTGCTTCCAAGCCCGCACTTCTGAATTAAGCGCATCTAACTGCAATCGACCTCCAAATCCAAATCCAACCCAAATCCAAGGGGCTTTGCCTCTATTTATTATATGAGGGAGGGTGAAAAGCCTTGATCCTAACCCCAACCCCCAGAAGCAATTTAGCAGGGAATGTGAGGGAAACCTGTTGAAACCTGGAGGTGTAAGGGCGCTGCGTCTCCTCCCGTTCCTTTCCGAGGGCAATTCGCAGCGCAAGCAGCCGTTCCAACGTGCTGCTTACTTACAAGTAAATGCACAGGCTCCTGACACTCTTAAGGCTGCCGTTACTTGGGAGTAAGCCTCGCAGAAATGTATGGGGGTTACTGTTCTCGCGAGGGAGACACGCACGCACTTTCGGCTTCCTAGCGATTCTTTCCCAAATCCTCTTGGGTGGAGGAAAGGGCCTCTTTCATTTACTTACTCGCAAGTAAGCCCCTAGGTAGGCATTTTTAAGGAACGATCAGGACCGAGGCTGGTCCGGACGCTCCAGAACCATACCTTCATCATTGTCATTGCAGATTAATAGTGTTGTTATTACTATTATTCCTCAAGATCCCAATTGCATTTCCTCGGAGGCGATCGAGGGGGTTCCCTCTCGCAGAGAAGCGCCCCAGGCTGTTCATTTTTCCTGGAGGAGGACATAGCCTCAGGAACTGACTCGCGAGGAAGCCCTACCTAAAGCGAGGGCAGCTTTGGAGGCCTTGAACCGAAAAGCAATGCGACAGTGCAAAAATAATCGAAGTATAAGCGGGGTGGGAAAGAAAAGGAGCGCTTAATTCTCCCTCCCCCTCATTCTCAGCGCTCTTGCTGGATCCGTTTGCAACAACACCCCTTTTTTTTTTCACTCCGGCTCCCTAAAAGCAGATTTGTTTAGACAGCCTTCCCTTCTTTCCGAGACGCCGCTGCTTTTGAATCACCCCTCCCTCCCCTTAAACGAGATACTTGCGCCGGGCTGGGTTCTTTAAGATCATCCTAGATGTCATTTTCCTTTGCCTGGGGTGAGGTGAGGAGGGGGGCTCCGCAACCCTGGCAAATATCAGGGGATGAATCTTTTGAAAAATCTTTCCTCCTTCCCCCTTCCCGGAGCACGTGAGCCTCACAATTTGGGACGCGATCCAGCCTGGTTGCAGGTTCAGGACGAGATTCCTGCGAGCAGTTCAGCCAGGCGCTTTGGAAATACAGTCGCGCTTTACGGTGCTAGCGAGGGAAGGAGGGAAGGCGCGTGTTGCAGACTGGCCCGTGCATTAAATCCACTCCTGGCCTTCAAACGAGCAGTTCTTTGTCGGCCGCATCGGCGTCTACGCCCGGATCCTGCCGACCTCGACTCTCTTCCTCTCGCGCGAAATTCGGAAAAATAAGTACACGACTGTTCCCTGACCATCGCTGCTGT